GCGGGGCTCCCCCGCCTCCGCAGGCACACAACGTTTCGCTGCAGCTGCCGGCTCAGCCCCGACCGGGTGGAGTGCGGGAGCGAGCCGCACGGCCGCGCCCGGCAGCCGGGCGGCGGGCCGCACCTATGCTGCAGGCCTCGGCGGCGGGGGTGAGCCCCGTCTTGGGGTGGGCCAGGCTGGGGTCTGCGCCCGCCTGCAGATGCGGGCAGCCAGGGGCAGCAGTGTTGGATGGCGGAGCAGGCGCCAGGGCTGCACACACACGCCACGCGCTGCGCCGCGTGCATGCCGTGCGCTGCCTGCCTGCCCCTCTCCAACTCCACACCCCGCCGCCACCGCACCACACAGGCACCAAAAGACAACGAAAACACACAGCCAGGCAGGCAGGCAGGCACATGCACCAACAAGAAAACAACAACACCACAAGCCAGGCAGGCGCACAACACCACATCCCAGGTGGGCAGGCGGGCGCAGCCAACCTCCAGCAGCAGGGTGAGGTGGTCCCTAAACTCGATGCGAGAGCAGGCCATGCCCAGCAGCGTGTGCGCCTGCAGCGCGCAGCGGCAGCCCAGGCGCCGGCGCCCGGGTGAAGCAGCGGTGGCGGCGCGGCGCAGGCGCTGCCGAGTCGCAAAAATGCCCGCTTCGCCGTCGCCGCCAGCCGGCGCGCCTCCCAGGCATACACAGCATTCACACCCTCCAGCTAATGCACGTATTCATTGGTTCTGCAGGAAGCCACCTCCCTCCCCTCACCTCCTCTGCGCTATACGAGTCGCTCCACATCGGGTAGCAGCCGCTGTTGACGTGGGCGGGCAGAACCTGCGCAGCGCACGGGGCGAGATCAGGCTCGGCGGGCGGCTCGGCGGCGGGGGCACGGGCCCGCCTCCGCTGCCGCCCGGCACGCGGCCCCACCTGCATGCCTCCCTCCGCCCAGCATCCACCACACACCACACCGCACCGCACCGCACCACACCGCACCACCCCACGCCCCACCTGGTTGGGGTCTGCCCCCAGCTGCAGCAGCAGCTTGGCCGCCTCCTGCTGCTCCCAGCAAACCGCCACCGACAGCGGGGTGGAGCCGCCGGGGGAGGGGGCGTCCAGGCTGGCGCCCAGCCCCACCAGCAGCCGGATCATGGGCAGGTTGCTGCGGCAGGGGGCAAGGGGGAGTTCCAATCGCGGCGTGCGGGAACGGCGGGCGAGCCGGCAGCGCTCAAATGAGGCCCTGGCCCAAGGAGCAAGCTCAGGCGAGACCCCCAAGCCGCCCCGGAGCGTGCATGCATGCATGGGGCCGCCCCAGCTGCGCCGCCGCTGGGCGCGTCGCCAGGCGGCGGCGGCGGCCACCCGCCTGCGGGCCGTCGCGGTCAGCAGCGCCCGCTCCAGGTGCTCCTCCTCCTCGTGCACCACGCCAAAGTGGTCGATGGCGGCGCCGTGCTGCGCGGGAGGGCGCGGCCGGGGGAGCGGGGCAAGCAGGGAGGCAGGGGAGGCAGGCAGGCAGGCGAATCAGGGAGGCGGTTGCGGCACCAGCCGGGGCCGCATATGGCATGCCCTGCCCTGCCGCAAGCAGCACTGGAGGAGTTCCATGCCGGCGCTGACAGGCCCTGCACCTGACAGGCGCTGGGCCCCGGGGAATGCAGCACCACCACCCCCGTCGCGTGCCCTGCCTGCCTGCCCACCTCCACCATTACCCCCGCCCACCTGCGCCAGCATCACCACCGCCTCCTGGCTATTGCCCACTACGCCCCATCCCAGCGCGGTGCACCCCATCTCGTCTGCGGGGCGGGGGAGGGGGGTCGGAGCTAAGCAACTTGCACAGCACAGCACAGCAGAGCGTGGCGGGCCCCAGGCAAGGCCACGCCAGGCCAGGGGGAGGGTCCATCCGCCCGGCAGCAGCGCAGCGCAGCACAGCGCAGCGCAGCACAGCACAGCGCAGCGAGCGCGCCGCGCACCCGCCAGGTTGACGGCCGCCCCCGCCGCCAGCAGCGCCTGCAGCGCTGCCAGGCTGCCGCGGTGCGCCGCCGTCATCAGCACGCTGAGGCCGTCGGGCCCCCACCTGCGGCGCACGGCGGCAGCCCTGCTCAGCCCGCCTGGCGCGCGCGGGGCGCTGCTGGGCCAGGAGGCGGGAGCGGGAGCTGCGAGGGCGGGGCCCGCCACGGCGCGCCGCCAGTCGCACAAAACCCAAACCAAACCAAACCCGCTGCGCCCCATCCTGCGCCCGCCATGCTGCACCATCCCACCCCTAGCAGGCAGGCAGGCAGGCAGGCAGGCAGGCGGGCAGGCAGGCAGGCCGGCAGGCAGGGCGGCTCACATGTTGGCGTTGAACGGCGGCATGCCGTCGCCCGGCGGCGGCGGCGGCCGCGCCAGCAGCCCCTCCACCACCCCCGCCATGTCGTGCGCGGCGGCGGCGGCCAGCAGCGCGCAGTTGGCTGCCACGTCAGCCCAGGGGGCGGGGCAGCTGGCATCCAGCGCCGCCAGCAGCACGCCGCACCGCGCTTCGTCGCGGCACACCACCGCCGCGGTGAGCAGCTGGCGCAGCGCGGGCGGGGCGGGCGGGGGCATGCCGTCGCGCCATGCGCAGCCGCCGCCGCCGCTGCCGCCGCCCTCCTCGCCCGGAGGCAGCACGTGCGCCAGAACCTCACGCAGGCCCTCCCGCAGCTTGTCTGCCATGCCGCTCTGCGGGTTGCAGTTGTCGTAGCGAGCAAGGATGGCGGGCAGCAGGCGGCGCAGCGGGCGAGCGCACCCGCTCCCGCCCGCGCCCAGCAGCCGCCGCAGCAGCTCCACGTGGGGCTCGCTGGCGCCAGGCCAGTAGCCAGGGCGGCGTCCAGGTGGGATGCCAGGGCGGCGCCCCCGCTGGCGCAGCAGCCGCTGGTGGAGGAGGAGGAGGAGGCGCACGGGGCGGCGCCGAGGCCCGAGCCGGCGCTGGCCTGGCTGGCGGCGGCACTGGCCGTAGCGAAAGAAGGGGTGAGGACTAGATCGGGTGCGGCGTCGCCATCGCCGCCGCCGCTGGCGCTGCCGTCGGCGCCGCCGCGCTCCTCCACGCCGCCCCCAGCGGCTGCTGCGGCTGCGGCTGCGTCTGCGGCGGCTCTGCCTCCCTCCATGGCCTCCAGCAGCGCCTGCGCGGCTGCCAGGCGCCCAAACCGCACCGCCAGCAACAGTGGGCTGCAGGGCGTGCGCAGCAGCTGCTGGGCCAGGGTGAAGGTGTAGGGGAACTCGGAGGAGCTGGGTAGAAGCTGCTTGAGGGACTGGTACACGCCAGAAGAGCACACCCCCTCGTAGGAGCTGAAGTGATCGTCATCGTCGCCGGCGTCGGCCCCGGCCGCGGCAGCCGCGGCCCCGCCCTCGGCCCCGCCTCCGCCGGCAGGTGCGGCGGGCGGCGGGGGCCGGGTCCACACAAAAGGGCTGGCGCCTGCACGCGCGGGTGGGGAGGGTAGGGGCGGGCCGAGGGGGGGCGAGGTAAGGGGGCGGTAAGACGAGGCTGGGAGCAGGGCAGGGGGAGAGGGAGGCCGGGGCTGAGGCTGCAGCAGCGTGCCGCCCCCGGCTGCAAGCACGGCACGGCGCCAGCACACAAGGCTGCTGCCCGCCTGCCTCACCTGCCTCCAGCAGCGCCCTCACGCACCCGTCCCGTCCCAGCGCCGAGGCCAGGTGCAGCGGGGCCAGCTGGCAGGGGAAGGCGGTGAAGGGGCTGCGCGCGGCGGCGGGCGAGAAGCTGCGTGGCGCGTCCCGCACCACCGCCTGCAGCTCGGGGTAGGCGCAGGCCGTGGCGCGGGAGCTGCCCGCGGCGGCGCTGCAGGTGCTGCAGGAGCTGCCGTCGATGAAGCTGAGTGGCCCGCTCATGGCAGCTCAGGTGCTAGGGAGGCTGCTAGGCAGGGGGGGCGCTCGTGGGGGCCGCCTCCGCCGCTCCAGCCGGCTGTGGCGCAGAGGGGCCTGGGGCTCAATCTGGGTGCCTCGAACCTGCCGGGGCAGTGCGCTGAGGGACCAGCCCGCTGGGCCCTGCCTAGGAGTCTCGGCGACCTGCAGGAGCAGGGGCGCGGCAGCGGGGCTCGAGGCGCCGGCGCCGCCATGCCCCAGCCGCCAGCACCCAAGCGGGCATCCCTCCCAAGCTCCCACGGCCGCTTCTCGGTGGTGCACTGGCTGCCAAACAGGCAGCAAGCGGCCCAGGCGGGGAGCACGAATGGCATGTTTCGTGCAGGCGCCAGGCTCACCTCTGCGGCGTTTCAAGGCTCCCAGTCCGCTTCTAAATACTCTCAAACCCCACAGCAGCGCAGACAGGCCGCCAGACGGGCCGCAGGGTTGTTTTCCTGTGGTTGCTGGCAGGTCTGGGCCCGTGGGCGCCCTGCAGCCAATTGCAGAGGAGTTGCAGAAGCACGGAAGGCCAATGGAGCACCGCCAGGCATGCCCGAGTCCCACCAAAATTGGCGCCCTGCTGGCGCCGAACGAGTCCCAGCTGGGGGTTGCGTAGCAGGCGCAATTCTCAATCCCACGCGCATTTACGAATCGTACGGCATGTACTCGAGGCTGTGATCGGTGCCTTTGGTGATCGGTGCCAATGCCCAAGGCCAAGAAGCAGGGGGGCAGCACGCTGTTCTCCGTCAGCCCCTGGCAGGACCGACAGGAGGACGGTTATGCCCTGCAGCCGGCCCAGCCGGCAGCCGAGGCAGGCTACGTCGAGGTGGAGCTGCCGCTGGTGGTTGCCGCCAGCCCGCCTGCAAGCGGCGGCGGCGGCAACCGCCTTGCTGCTGCGCCTGGCCTGCCGCCGGCCGGCACTCCCGATGCCATGGCGTTAGACACGGCGCCGCCTGCAGCAACAGCGGCACGGCAGGCTGGGGTGCCGGGGCAGGCAACGCCGGGACCGATTGCGCCGGCCCTGGCGGCTGCCGTCGCTTCGCAGGCGGCAGGCGGTGGCGGCGGCTGGATCGCCAAGAAGCGCAGGGCCCAGCAGGAAGAAGAGGAGGGGGAGATGATAGCAGCAGCAGCAGCAGCAGCAGACTCAGACAGCGACCTGTCGGCATGCCCGCTGGGGGGCGGAGGGGCGAGCGCTGGCTCGGATGAGGCGGGCGGGCGGCAGCAGCAGGGGCAGGTGGAGCTGGCGGGCACCGCCTACCTGGCCCTGCTGCCCAACGGTAGCGTCACGGGTGCGTGCGCTGGGGGTGGGCGCACGCAAGAGGGAGGGCAGCCCACCCTGCGCTGCCGCCCACGCTGCTTCGCCTTGGTCCGTGCTTGCCTGGCAGGTGTCTGTGGCTGCTGAGCATGCTGTGGCTGCTGAGCATGCTGTGCTGTCTGCGCTGCGCTGTGCCCCGCAGGCCACCTGGTGTGCGCCCCCTCGGCCTTTGCCCCCGCCCGCCGCCGCTCGTTCGGGGTGATGGGGGAGGTGGCGGTGGCGGGCAGGGAGTGCACGCGCGATGCAGGTGTGTGCGTGTGTGTGCGTGTGCGAGTGTGGGGTGTTTGCGTGTGTGTATGTGATGTGTGTGTGTGGGGGGGGGTGGCGCTGCGCAGCGCAGGCTGCTGGTGCTGCTGCCTGGTGGGCTGGGTGGGCAGGAGAGAAGCCTTGGGTGGCATGGGGCTTGGGGAGAAGGCTGGGTCCTGCCTGGCGCCAGGAATGCCGGCAGGCCGGCAGTTGAGGCAGCGCACCCGCTGCTGCCGCCGCCTGCAGACTGGGGTGTGCTGCGCATGACGCTCGTCAGCTTTGCGGGCGGCGGCGGCGGCGGCGCCGCCGGCGGAGGAGAGGTGTCGTTCCTGGCTGAGCGCACAGAGGGGGATGCCATGCGGCTGAGGCGAGTGTTCGTGTGTGTGTGTGTGTGTGTGTGTGAGATGTGTGCATGGCTGCGTGTTGTCGCGGCTGTGGCTGTGGCTGTGGCTTTGGCTGTGGCTGGCTTGTGGCTGGCTTGTGGCGATCATGCGTCCGTGCCCTGCTCCCTCTCTCGCCCGCCACGCAGGGCGCCTGTGCCCTGGCAGGGCATCGAGCTGGATGATCTGCCCGCGCTGGATGCCGCCTGCACCTGCGCCGCCGCCTCCGGCCTCTCCCTGCGCTTCCACTGCCAGCAGCTGCTGTCGGGGGCTGCGGCCGACGCGCTGCTGCGCAGCCTGCAGCCGTCACTGGCGGGGCGGGGTGCCATGCTCAACGTGGGGCTCATGCGGGTGGCGCTGCCACGCGGCGCGGCGGCCGCGCTGATGCCGGCGGCAGAGGCGGCTGGGCGGGCGGCGGTGGGGACGGGGGCTGGCGGGCGCGGCGGGCGCGTTGAAGCGCCGAGCGGCGCGGCCCGAGGGCAGGAGCCGATGCAGAGGCGGTACACCGGCAGGTCCAGCGGCGGCGGGCGGGCGGTACAGGACGCCGGGGACGAGTGGTAGTGTGGGAGGAGGCATCGGGGCACGGCACGGGGGTGGTGGGAGCCACACAGTCCATTCCCCTCTTTCCCTGCATTCCTCCCCTCTCTCGGCACGACATCTGCATGACCTGTGTGTTAAGCATCGCTCATTACTTGCGTCGCCAGCAACACAACACGAGATGACGAGGCACGCGAGCAGCGCAGGCGCTCCAGGCAGGCCAGCACACAGCGCCCGCCGCCGCCCGCCGCTCCCCGCGCAGCCGCCCGCCCGGTGCGGTGGCCGCCGCCGCCGCTGCTGGCTGCCAGCCCGCCAGCCGCGCCCCCGCATGCTGCCCCCGCGGCCTGGCCGCGCCTCACAGCCGCACCGACTTGCTGACGCGGGACTTGACTCCGGTGGACTCGCCGCCGTATGCGCCGCCGCCCGCCCGCACCTCCTGCACCTGCCCCTTGCGCCGCACAGTGGCCTGGGCAAACTTGACCCTGCAGGGGAGGTGGGAGGGCGTGCCTTGTGGCGGTGTGGTGGGGCGGCGGGGTGCTTCAGGGCACGCAGGCGCAAGCAGCGGGTGGCGAGTGGCGACCCGGCAGCGCGGAGGGCAGCCGAGAGGGCAGCGCCCAGCCTGCTGCCGGCCAGTCCAGCCCCCACCCGCAGCCCTGCCCGCCCGCAGCCCACCCCAAACAAAATTACCACCCCACACCACCCCACACCACCCACCACACCACTCCACACCACCCCGCACCACCCCACACCACCCCACACCACCCACCACACCACTCCACACCACCCCGCACCACCCCACACCACACCACCCCACACCGCACCGCATCGCACCGCACCGCGCCGCGCCGCGCCGCGCCACACCGCACCGCACCGCACCTCGCCGCGCCGCGCCACACCACACCACACCGCATC